TGAATTGAGAAGGGCAACTTTTTTGGTAAACTTAGTGATAATCATTTATTGTAAAATATTTACCAATACAATTTTAGTTAAAGAGCCTTTTTTGTTTTAAAGTGAATTCTAGAAAAATTTGTTGGAAACTTATACACAAACTCCAGAATTGTTGTATGTCAATCAGAATTGTTGAGTGTCATGACACTACCATTTTTGTAAAGTTAAATGTTGATTGTGATTCGTTTTACAGTTTTCTGACGTATCGGTCTTGCCGTCATCTCGACAACAAACACACTGTGTTTGGAAGAGTGGTTGGTGGCTTGGATACGTTGTCCAACATGGAAAGAGTCGAAGTTGACAACAAGGACAGGCCAATAGAGGACATTATAATCGAGAAGGCTCAGGTTTTTGTGGATCCTTATGTGGAAGCTGATGAACAGGTTAGTTGTGTTTTCTGTTAAAAATTTCTTTGTCAGTCAGAATTAAGTTAGGTAGCTATCAACATCATTTCTTGCACAGCAGTTTACATTAACTCATTAGTTAATGAGATAGTTGTGTGTGTCACTATTTAGGAATGTTCGGTTCGGTTAATTTAGAGTTGCCGTACACACATCGCGTGTTTGTTTATTTACTTGGACAAGATTTGCATTAATATATTTACCTGCCATTTGGTGTCAATAATGTAACTCATATTTAAATTTTAAAGTTTAAAATTTATTTTTACCAACTTTTCTTTAATTTTAAAAGTATTATTTTAAACTAGGAAAATAGTTGAACATTCTATGATGACGGTGACATAGATCAGCCACTATCTGGGTGTTTAGTAGCAGAACAAGTTCACATTAAATAGTAAAAATAGTTTAAATTGTAGACTAATTAATTGTTTTCAAAATCACAACTTGAACTATACATACACAGTAAACTAAGTGTATTTATAAATATATGGTATAATTGACTCAAACATAATAGAAATTCCTAGTCATAATTTTGAGTTCCTTAATAGCACAATGATAAATTTGTCTGTGATGTTTTAGCTTGCGGCAGAAAGATCTGAGGAACTGAAAAAGAGAGCAGAAGAAGCAGCTGCAGAACAGACGTCGAAACCTCGAGTTGTTCCCAATCAACCTTTGAAAGCCTTCCACGGAGGTGTGGGGAAGTATATCCGCCCGGAAACATTAAACAGGTGAGTTGACAGAGTTCCTAATTCAGAGTTATACAAATTATCCGCAGGGTTAAAATAAATATAATATCCGAGGAATAATCAAATTTATGATTTTTAATTGAGTAATACAGTATCTTGAGCTTAACTGAATCAAAGGATAAATAGCTCAAGTTAAAGCCTATAATTTACTAATTATTTTGTTTTTTGATTTGAGTCTAAAACATATAAAAAAACATGGACAATACTAGAGCTATTGATTTTTAATCATAGAAAAATCCTCGTGAAAAATAATTTTATGTTGGTTGTTCACCTTGCGTGTGCTGCTTGAAACTCGTCCGATTTGAATGAATAATAGCTTAAATGAAAGCCGGTGTTTGACTAAAGATTAAAATATAACTGGTTAAATACATCTTAAATTGAAGTAAAATTCAAAAATGAATAAAATGTTTTTTGGTCGAGTTATACAGTAGGTAAATATATGCCGATGCTTGATGTGAAATCTTTGTGTTTATGCCTTCAATTTGTGACCTCAATCATGAAAATTGGTCAGGTAGAAGAGCCAAACGACCTTGGAGAAGAAAAACCAAATTTAACTCCCATAAGAAATGCATGGGGAGCAAATTCCGTTTACGTATAAGCTGATTGGGATTATAGATAAATATATGCCGATGATTGATGGCAAATCTGTGCGTACATACCTTCAATTTGAGACCTAAATCATAAAAATCGGTCGGGTAGAAGAGACAAACGAACTCGGAAAAGAGACACCAAATTTAACTCCCATAAGAAATACGTGAGGAGCAAATTTTGTTTACGTATAAACCGAGTGGGATTATAGATAAATATATGCCGATGCTTGATGGCAAATCTGTGCGTGCATACCTTCCATTTGAGACCTCAATCATGAAAATCGGTCGGGTAGAAGAGCCAAACAAACTCAGGAAAGAAAAACAAATTTTTTAAAAAAATATATAAGATTATAGTTTTAATGTTTTCCTTGAAATGTTGAAATCATTAAATGGTCAAGGTTCTTTTGGAGTAGTTCATTGCACAACCTCCATGTATTGTCAGTGGATTTTTATTCCTAAACATGTTCGATTTGTGATCTGGAAGTCAATCATAGAATCATTATGTTTTGGCTTTGAGTTTGGTAGTATTGTTAGTGTCGTATGTCAGGTTGCACGGTGGTTGATTGGTATCAAACATAGTTTACTGTGTCTCGTTTAGGTCTAGTGTGCAACACATTGGGTGGGGAGAAAACCACCTAAAATAAATGGTTGACAATTTGGTTGGTTCAGTGTGCAAGTTCCACCTCAAAACAGACATTTTGCTAATTTTCACCTACTATTACTGCCCTATTTATGTCAAACAAGAATTTTTTATGAAAGTTGATGAGACGAGGGAAAACATTATAAAAATAAGACGAGATAATATGAAGATTAAATATAAGAATTTCTAAGGCTCGATGAAATTGCGCCTTACAACAAATTATTTATGAATACTGTTAATGTAAAGTTGATATTTTACAGCAAAGAGAAAATCTTATCACCTTCAGAACCCCCGGCTAAGAAGAAGAAAGAGGTTGGTTATCAGTTCAAAAACTTTAACTCCTGGTGATCACAAATTGCATACAAAGAAGAAAACTAACTGTTCAATACTTGTCAACTACGTTAACAGTGATAGCTCAGTGTCAGATAATGATGGACAAACTAAGTTAGACTAACTTACTATCACCTCAAATTGGAAGTGAAAATTATGATAAATGCAATTTGAGTTTTATATTTTAATCCAACAATAGAACAATATATTGTCTTGTTTTTAACGTTAATTTCTAACTTAGGTGTTTATTGCCTTTTATATTTCCCTCAGGTTATTATTGTCAAAAGTTCAACATTAAAAAAATTCCCTGATGAAAAAAATACAACTTTTCCTTAAAAAAAAAAACAAAAAAAAAATTAAAATCTTAATATTCATTATTAGTATCCATTTGCAGTAAAACCAATCACTTTTTGTACGATGTTGTAAATTTTAACAAATGTTTATTTCATATTATATATTGTACATTTAGGAGAATACATGAAAAGTTGATGTAAATAACTGTTTACTTTTAGTTTTAATATATAATAAACAAATACAAAAAGTACATTGTGCTTGTGTTGTTTTCTTGGGTACCGTACCTCAAGATTCACGGCTATACATCTGGTAAGGAAATATTTTAGTGCAAATCCAATAAGGTAAGTATGATTTTTGAAACTTTGGGATGAAATCACAGTTGTTTTTTTACTTTTTTTTAACAAAACAAAAGACATTTTTGCAAATTTTTACTGTGATCAGTCCTATGGCTTAAGGCTACCCTACTATATATTTATCGATTATACCATTTCCAAATGTTTACACTGAACATATTGCTATACATTACAGATACATATATCAAATAATACATCTGGGGAACAAGCTGGTCTAGTGCTTAGAGCACGGGACTTCGGTCCCTGAGGTCCCGGGTTTAAATCCCACAAAACCACCAATGGATTTTACCAAAGTGATAATGCGGTAACCCCTACTAGCCTGAAGTAATGGGAAAAACAACCCCAGGCTCGTACCTAGTGTCCTAGGACAACACAAAAATAATATATTTATATTATTAGATCTGGAGATTGCTTTGTGCAATATTCTAATTTTGAAGGCTAGGCTATATTTCATGCATCATAGGAGACACTACTAGCCTTATCTTCATTTTTTGTTCTGACTGTAAATTTGAAAACCTTATGTTAAATTTAATTATATTTTATCTCATATACTTGTTTTACTGGCCAGTTCTATCCCAAACTGGTCAATTTTGTAAAGTGTTATTAATTTGTTTTACTACAACAGTCCAATTATTTGATTAAACTCTCAGATCCCAATTATCAATTGTTTAGTATAAATTAAACCTGTCTATTAAGTTAGCAATGTAATGGTACCAGTTTGCATTGTTAGGCTCGTCACACACTGCGTCCAGTCAGGTGAAATCGGATCAGGCATGCCGGATCAGGTAAATTCGAAAACCATTAATTCAAATGGAAGTGCCCACACTGCATCAGGTCCGGTGCGTCAGGTGCTCTCCGGTAAAATTATTTCGGTCGAGAAGCGATAGGCTTCAGGCAAGCTTCCGGCACCGGAGAGCTCGCGCATGCGCAGACAACTCCTAATCACCACGTAGCAGCAGACGTGGTTTTTTGGTGATTGTTTATACGCTGTAAGTTTTGTTACAAAATGTCATTAGAAGAGAAATTGATTGTGCAAGTGCAGGAGTACCCTGTGCTATACGACCTGGGCCACAAGGGCTACTACAACTTAGTTATTGAGGAAAATATTTGGGAAGAAATAAGTGATCAATATAATACTACTAACCCTACTATGATCTCTTCGTCACTGTCACTGTCACTCATTGTTAAAATTAAATTTTGTTATAACTTTTGCAAACAGTTGTTGATTAAACACTTCTTCAACTGACAGTATCCGCTGTCCTCGCATAGACTGGTCGCCGGAACTGGAACGCCTGATGCAGTGTGGAAATTTGCTGGATCCGGCGAAAAACACCGGATCAGAATAAACCGGACCGGAGGCAGTGTGTGACGAGCCTTAATCTGTCAATCTGTCAAATTTTAAAACATAATTTTTCTGAACTACAGTTTTAATAAATACACCAGAAGAGTTGGTAAAGGTGGTTTATTTTCTATTGACCTCAATTGCACTTAAAGCGCTCTGCTCTCAAAACGATTACAGCACCTTTGTGATAGTTTACTCTATGCTTACATATGTGAAGCAATTGGTGTAAGCTTTTACAATAAATGATGATGATTAGTTTTCTTTCCTATGAATATTTCAATGGTAGTTTATTATCCTTTCATTTTGTAACCACGACAGAACACTGTCATTAAGCTGCACCGGCTTAGGCTATTTCCATACAAGGGTTTACAATCTCAATTAATTTGAAACTAAACTTTTTGACACGTTTGTTTTTGCTTAAAAAGAGACTTTGCACTAGGTGTTACATCTAATTTGGAAGGTAGTATTACATTTCCTATCGTTAAACTTTTCCTCAATGCAGTGTTTACTTTAACCAATTTATTTCTTGTCCTTTTCTCACTGCTAAGAGTAGATAATGGGGTCGAACAATTAGAATTTAAGGATTTAATTTTTGGCAGGACAACTTTTGCTTCTCTCCCTAAACCGTCAGCTCTCCCTTTACTGGATTCATTTGTTGTTGTTGATGAAGGTGTCAATACTCTTCTTTGAAAGTATTTGTCTTTAAATATAACTTCATTAAGTTTCATTGCATTTCCCAACAGTGAGACTTTTGGACCATCTAGGGTTTGCTTAGAGCAATGTTTCTTTGGAAAAGAACTTTCAATGAACGAATTGCTTTGAGAAATATCAAACTTAACAGTAAACATTGGCTTATGTCTTTTCAGCATTTCTTTGAGTTTCATGATATTGAAATAACCTGCTGTTTCACCTGTTGGCTGTAATTTCAATTCTGCTTTAACCCTTTCCGGTGATGTTTTCAACTTGAAGCTCAACTGTCGGATAATGTTCTCCTCATCATTACTATCAAGTAATTCGTGCGGTACGTCCACCCAATGACCCTTGTTGGTTATCCAAGGATCGCGGAAGATACTGTTTATCGTCAGTCGTTCTTCCCAACGAGGATTCATAAGCCCTTTGATCAACGGAATAAAATCGAGAGAATAATGTTTTATCAATTTAATGTTAGCTTCAGATAACCCTTTGTAAATAATTTGTATAAACTGTCCTCTCTTTTCTGGTGTTTTCAATATATTAGAAAGACAGGGAAATGGTAGCTTTCCAGCAGCCAACGCAAACATAATTACTCCGAATGCCCACATGTCCACCTCTGGGCCGTACTTGGTGCCTCGTAAAAATAGTTCTGGAGCGCAATACTCCGGCGAACCGCAGAGTGTCTTGAGTGGAGAGTCCAGAGACCAAGTGTTGGTTAAACCAAAATCTACAAGCTTAACATTTCTCTTCCCAGCATCCAACATGACGTTCTCCAACTTCAAGTCTCTATGGACAATACCTCTCGTATGTAAGTATTGCAAAGCTGATGCAATCTGCCGGCTGAATCTTCTTGTGGTAGTTTCATCTATTTTCCCTTTCTTTTGTTGAACAAAGTCACACAGATTTCCTCCCTGGATTATCTCAGTAACCACATAGTATATATTATGGTATGTCATTGTCTCAAAAAGCGTCAGTACAAAAGGATGGTTTAAACTTTGAAGAATATTAGCTTCCCTGAGATGGTTTTTAAGCATATAGGTGTTGCATTTTGTCAGGTCCATAACTTTTACAGATACGTAAACATTCAATGGCACATGAACAGCTTCTCTGACAACTGCAAACGATCCCTTACCAAGAACCTTCCCAGTGAACTTATAGTTTCCCACCTGAACTAACTTTGCCTCCACTAAATTGACTGGGGGAGAGTTCAAAATTGTTTTTGTCATGCTAACTAAGTTTTAAAATTGGATCAAAATAAATTCTTATAAAACTCAAGTAAGTTTGTAGAATACTTAAACTCTTTTAAAAGAGTATGGTTAAGTTATTGTTTATATGAGAGCTAAAAGTAAACATGTTGAACACATGTTATAACATAAGCTTTTGCCTAAGTCCTATGTCACATTATACTGATGATATCCATTGAAACATGCATTCACTTTGCCATAGACAACTCTTATTTCAAAGTTACAGGCATAATCAGGCTTCGGACTACTAATTGGATCATTGAATGCTTTTAGGATCATTTCCTTACAAAAGCCTGATTAAAACTTTTATTTTTATTTAAAAGATCAATTTGGGTGGTGATGGAGTGAAACATGTTAAATTATTTAATCTAAACATTGATTTATTTAGTGTAGCTGTCTTAAAGAATTTATTTACTGATCAGTAAATAACTGATTTATTTTCTATTTAATCTACATCAATAATGTAATGCTATAATACTATAGGCAACTAATAAGTAATACGTAATGCTGATTCCCTTGTAGTGCAGGAAAAAAGTGTAAATTTTAGCCTAATAGTGGAATTTGAATTTATCAGGCTGAAAATTGGTGGAGATGTCGTACATACAGCTGAGAACATCATACTAAAATTCCCAAAAAATCCCACTTGGGCAACATGCCGCCATCTTGGAAAATGGCCGCCGTAATGGATTTTCCCCCTTGTGTCATATATTCAAGCATAAAACCACTCCTATTTGTGATAAAAACATGCAGTTTCTTCAAAATTATTTGTCGGGATGTAATTAAAATACTTTGAGCCAATGCAAATAATTGTGTGTTGTAATTTAACATGTTTATGCAAAAAATAACCAACAAATTTTTGAAAGGTAATATTAGTCTTGGATTCAAAATTGATTTAAGACCTCTTTTACTCATCGGGAGAAAAACTTACCAGCATAATTTTTTTAGAATAGGTCAATATGCACAAGAAAATGTAATAATATTTGTTTTTGGTCTATAAGTATGCCGTCATATTGACGTTGAACGTGCGATTGCAGCCTAAGTTTTAGACCACTTCGTGGTGGAGACTGTAATATAATGCTGTAAATGAAACGAGTTCTCATGCAGCATGCTGAAGTGAGGGGATATGTTTCCACATTAAAACCCTTAGCCAACGCAACCAACAAAACAAGGCTCATTGATCAATTAGTAAGCCATCCAAACAGAAACTGAATACAAGCGGTGAGAAAGCTGATGCAGACCGTCTAATTGTCCAAACAGTCATCCCACTAGCCAATGAAGAAAAAACTCTGCAATTGTTGGAAAGAACACTGAGGCATTCGTCCTTTTATTGACCCTTACCGACCATGACAAAAATATCTTAATGCTCATTCCACTTTCAAAAGCTCATTAGCAAAAGATATTTTCATCCACAGCACTGCAAAATAGTAGGCCTATGGACAATGTCAACGAGCATCTTGTTTTCCTGCATTCTATGTCCGGTTGTGATACCACGTCAGCAACCTACAGGAAAGGGAAGATACAAGCATTCAATGTTCTGGAGAAATCACCAATTCTTTGCCAACCAGTGTAAGTGTATGTGTTCAATCGGGCGGAATCCACACAGATGGAAATTGTCAAAGCTGGATAGGAATTTCTTGTAGCCCTATATATGGAGCAAAAAGCGGTCAGGGACTCAAAAGAACTCGATACAAACAGTACCTGGAAGTAATATCAAAACGTCTTGACTTTTAATTTGACCTTTCAACACTTCTACCAACTTCTGAAGCTGCTAGAGAGCACAACCTTAGATTGTACCACCAGGTTCAAGAATGGCTAGGGGTTTCTCTTCCACCTACAGAGTGGGGATGGAAAAAGAACGAAATAGGTACATTTACTCTAATTCCTACTTCAATGCCCCTTTACCTGACAACCATCTCAACTTAAGATAAGATGTGCATGTAAGACTGGATGTAACAGGTATTTTGGGTGTCTGAAAATGAGTTATCTTGTTCACGATTGTGTATCTACTGTACCAACGGTTGTGGTCACGGGATCAATGCCACACCAGTACTAAATGAAGAAGGGGACATTAATGTACCTGATTTACCAACCCAGTTCCGTTCTGACTGGGAAGTCAACAAAACCAACATGCAAATGATTCCATTCCACTTTGCAGCAAGAGGAAAAAGTCGCATCAAAGAAAATAGTTTTTATAACTCACAAACTTATCAATAATTGTCAAACAGAGAATATATTCATTTTTTTTTTAGTTTGTATAAAAAAGAAAAATATTATGTATCAAATAAAAGTAAGTTATAAAAGTAATACTAACACAACTGTTTATTTACTATTAGTAATTTAATTCCATTTACATAATTTTATTACCGTCACCACCATGATGCGGTCTAAAACCTAGGCTGCAATCATGTGTCCAGCGTCAATAAGACGGCATACTTATAGACCAAAAACAAATATAATTACATATTCTTGTGTGCCTTGACTTGTTCTATAAGATTTAATCAGAGAAGTTTTATCCCCGATGAGTAAAAGAGGCCTTAAATCAATTTTGAATGCAAGACCAGTATTACCCTCCAATTATTTTTGTTCAATTCTTAGCATAAAAATTTGTAATTTCCATACAAAACTATATATAATGGCTCTAAATATTTTAATTACATCCCGACAAATAATTTTGAAGAAACTGCACGTTTTTATCACAATTAGGAGTGGTTTTATGCTTGAATATGTGACACAAGGAGGGAAATCCATTATGGCGGCCATTTTCCAAGATGGCGGCATGTTGCCCAAGTGGGATTTTTTGGGAATTTTAGTATGATGATCCCAGCTGTACGTACAACATTTCCACCAATTTTCAGCCTGATAAATTAAAATTCTGGAATCCAACACTATTTTCCTGCACTATTGGGAGTATGGTTAAAGAAATGAATAGGGTAGATCAATGTTATGATGGGTTTTTCATATTTTAAACTCCTGAGATTATTTGTTTAAAATGCTTATTAGCAAATTTCCCAGTAGGGAAATAGCTATACCGTAGGTGGCATGGTAAGACCTAGGCCCGGGACCGATTTACTTTTTCATTTTGATATCTCCAGAGGCCAAAAATACCATTCGTTCAAACTTTTATATGTGTATATATATATGTATATATATATATATTTATATACGTCCGTGAACGCGATAACTTGAGTAATTTTTGTCCGATTTTGATGAAATTTTGTTTAAAGGTGTAAGGCGGGATAAACTTGAATGATTTCGCGAACCAGCATGATCGGACCATGGGAACGGGGTTTTACGGGGGGTTTTATGGGGTAAATAATGGTTTTTCTCATTTTTGACCCTCAAAACACACAATTTCCCAATTTCTCTCTGGACCTTTTAAACGAGCTTAAAAAACAAATAATTTAGTATATCAAAGTGTTTTTGTACGGTTAATTCAAAGAAAATTCTCCTCAAAATTTCCAAAGAAATTTGTTTTTGTACAAAGAAAATTCAAAAAATTGTAAATTTAGAATTCCTATGTTATTCTTTTGGAGAATATTGTAAAATGTTGTAGTTTGCTTGTTTATTGACATATTTTGACCAAACGTTAAAAATATATTTATTTTATACTAAGCTATTAATATTTTCCTAAAAAACAGACTTTATTAGTTTCCTTGTAGCAGCAAACCTAGGTACTCGTTAAACCTAATGTTATTTTTAGATTTGAAAATCAATTTAGACAAATGGAAATTCGCTTAGTCGGCAGGTTTGCTGCGGCGGGGGTATTTTTTCAGTCAGCTATCATTCTTTCATAACCTACACAGAGCATTATGCTCTATGATAACCTATCAGTGTGTTTTCCCGGGAGTCTTCAAAATTGGGCCTGCTAGAGAATGAGCTGTGGTGTATTTTTCAAGCTTAATTGTTGGTCCTGAGTTAATTCCTTATCGTTTGGTTTAAATCAAGATTAATGTATTTGTTTTTAATTTTAAAATGTATTTTGGGTCTAGCCGTACACGTTTGTCCAAAAAAAAATCCGACCTTACTTGATACTGGATACTTAATGTACACTTGGACTAAAAGAAGGTGCAAAAGAAATTTATGTAGATCAATATTAGGTAGGTAAATAATAAAAAGAGTTGATCAAAATCTTGTCAGAATTTAGAAATTGTTTTGAAATGTAATAAATAGAGATTTATTTTATATTTTATTTACTATACTAAATAATGTAAAAAATTAAATAAAAGATTTTCAAAATATATTTAACACGTTGTTTTTGTGTTGACATTCTTGGAAGCATTCATATTTCTCGTTCACTATTCAAAAACTAGCCGTGAGGAAGATATATGCAACCATTGACTATTGGATGCAACATAATCATGTGAATTCACCAATCAACTGCGGGTTCCAATCATAATAGAGATCGATGGTTCCCATCAGTTCCCCATCCACAGTATAGCAAATTACAAAAAATACAGTTCAAAGGTAAAACCTTCAGTTAGTTGTAACTTTTAAAGAGCAAATATTACACTGAAAATTACTTGATACAGGGGTAAAAATAGTTCCAATCAAATACTGATTATTTTACTTGGCTTTCCTCCACCAAAACTTAATCCCTGAAGTACTGAGGCATTCCAAGTAAACTAACTATATCTAGGACCTGGGGATTTTAAAGAATTACCGTATTCTAAATCCCAATGAAAAAAACTGAATCTCAATTTCTTTATAGGCCTAAGTAGTAGTAAAAAAGTGAAAAATCGTTGTCACTTTTTGTCACAAGCCATTTTGATTCTATAATATGATTAAGTTTATATCATATTTTTATCTGCAGTCATTAATGAGTGTAAAAGTCAAACCACAGGTTTCAATGACTAGAGGGGAGAAAAATGCTGTGCAAGTAAGTAGCGCCATAGATACTCCATACTCCTCAAGTATGTTTTATCTATGGTAGCGCTTAAACTTAATAACTTCTTGATCAGCATCGTATGTGTTATTTAAACTACCTGAAAGTACAAATATGTCAAAACACACTTGTAATAAAAATATATTTACACTTTATACATTTATACTGTTTACTCACAAGACGGTAAAT